CCCAACCCCTCCAAACCCACCTCCATTACTGGGGAAACACACCAGAGCAGGACTACTACACCCAACAAAACATCAAATCCACCAAGTCCTTCTACACCTCACCTAGAGGCCTAACCCTCTTCACCAGATCATGGCTACCCCTCACCCTCACCCCTCCACGAGCCCTCATCTTCATGGTCCATGGCTATGGCAACAATATTAGCTGGACCTTTCAGGCCACCCCAATCTTCCTTGCCCAACATGGGTTTGCTTGTTTTGCCCTTGACCTTGAAGGCCATGGCCAATCTCAAGGTCTCAAGGCCTATGTCCCCAAAGTTGACCTTGTTGTTGAAGATTGTCTTTCATTTTTCAATTTAGTTCTTACCCAAAACCCCCAATTCCAAAATCTACCCAAGTTCTTGTTTGGAGAGTCAATGGGTGGTGCAATTTGCCTTTTAATCCATTTTAAGAACCCTAGTTTGTTCAATGGTGCAATTTTGATCGCACCCATGTGTAGAATCTCTGATAAAGTTAGACCCGGATGGCCAATTCCCGAAGTTCTTACCTTTCTTGCGAAATTTGCTCCAACTTTGCCAATTGTACCCACAGCTGATCTGTTGGATAAGTCTGTGAAAGTCCCAGAAAAGAAAATTATTGCAGGGATGAATCCGATGAGATATAGGGGGAAACCAAGATTAGGGACTGTGGTTGAACTTTTACGGGTTACTGATTATGTTAGTAGTCGATTGTGTGATGTGAGTCTTCCATTTATTGTGTTACATGGAAGCGATGATGTTGTTACTGATCCAGAAGTGAGCAGAGAATTGTATGAATTGGCGAAGAGTGAGGACAAGAGTTTTAAGATATGCGACGGAATGTTGCATTCTTTGTTGTTTGGTGAGACTGATGAGAATGTTGAAAGTGTTCGCGGTCATATATTGGCATGGTTGAATGAGAGATGCTGAGAGAATTGAATTGAATTTGTGATACATGATTGATTTGTGGTCTCAATCATTGTTGGTTGTTGTATTGCAGCAGTTCTGAGCAATCAAAGTTGGATTCTTTGCTCACAATTGTTGTAGATTGATACTGAAATCTAGTACAAGTTTCGAATTATCCAACACTAATGCTTGTTCTATACTGCAGTATTGCTATAGGTCATTCTTGTTTTTGATATGTTATATTACAGTACTAATATGTCCGTGTGATGCACTGGATTTTACACTCCCTCTCCACTGCCACGCCGTCCCACCTCACTCACATCCCATTCAAGCCACCTCCGCCTCTACATCACCCTGCATTGTGGAAAACTATCTGAATAACAGTATGGTTGTGAAGCTGCTACTTTTTTTTTTTTTTCACTCTCACAATCTATAGATAGTTTTTGAATTAGAATTCCAATAATACAAACAAGGTTTGTGGTGGTAGTGCAAATTGTTATGGTAAAGATGATAAAATATCACCATTTTCACATTGAACATCACATTTTTCTTGAGAGTAATGTAAGAAAGAGAAAAAAAGGGACTGTTCTGCTGCAGCTGAGACTCAAGCCTCCGGCAGTTTTAAACCCGTATCTCATACCCCTAGCCAGTTGTCAAGTGTCTAACACTTGATGCATTTTGCACAGTCCATGTACTGTGGTTGAGAGAAGGAAAAATAAATAAAGTGCCGTTAGGGATACTGTGACAACTTTAAGAGTGTTATGATTAGAGGCAAATAGGGTTTGTGTTGCTTTGGTTTACTATAGATTGTGTAGTGTAAGACACTCCAGTATGGTTTAATCAATTTTCACACTAGGTTTGGAAGAG